GGAGTTTGGGTAATGGTCGAGTGTCGAGGGTCGAGGGTCATAGGTCGAGGGTCGAGGTTCGGAAGTCGAGGTCGAGGGTCAAAAGTCGAGGTCGAGGGTCAAAAGTCGAGGTCGAGGGTCAAAAGTCGAGGGTCGAAAGTCGAAAATACTAAATTTTTATCCATTTTAAAAGTTTTACAACCATTAAACGCGGCAAAACAATTAGTTTTGCTGTCAAAACTGAAAAATTTCGCCTATGGCTATGCCGTATGGCTATGTACTGTATAACTGAAAGTTTCGCTTGTGGAACTAAAAGTCTGATGCGAGGTTTGATGTTTGAAAGCATACATCTTTTATTTTACATTGGAGTTTAAAATATACAAACACGGACGATTATACAAAAATGGCGTTTCACTCTCATGAGAAATTTGATTATAGGTATAAATATGTTATCTCTTGGAGGCGAAAGAGTTCTGAAATTCTCAGAACTTCATCTTAACGATACTCCTCATACCGCGTATGGTTTTGGAGGTTTAAAGCGTTAGGGTGTGCGAGAAACAGTTGATATTTATATATTTTACAACATCGTGTTTACATGTCTGCACCGGAAGTGCACATGTTCGATTGACAGTTTCATATTCATAATATAGTTGCGAGAACGTTGTAGTGTAATAAAATGGAAACTTTCTTTAGTTATTCTGTCAAAAATAGCATGCACGAAGCACGAATATTATCTTTATAACAGGGTGATTTTAGTTCGGTTCAGAATTATCTCACGTCGACCATTGTGAGAGATTTTGCTGCGCTGGGACCCGATTCGTTCTGATAGTACAATAAATACAATATATTTTCGAATCACCCCACCGGCACCGTACGTTCTCGAATAGTTTTAGTAATTTTACACTTTCTCGAAAAACAAAAAGGAACCTAATTATGCCCTAAGGCATGTTCTGTACTAACAGTAATAAAGTTAGTTATCAGGAGAACCTTTAAAATTTTGACAACAAATGCCAAATTGACCCTCGACCTCGACTTTTGACCCTCGACCTCGACTTTCGAACCTCGACCTATGACCCTCGACCCTCGACCTACAACCCTCGACCCTCGACCTATGACCCTCGACCCTCGACACTCGACCATTACCCAAACTCTGTACCGTACCGTACCATAGCTAACTATTACAGTCAAAACGGAAATACCTGCACACTTCTGTTTGGGTAGTTTGTTGTGTAGTACTGTATTTCAGTAGCTACTGAAAAGTGATTTGTTCAAAATTCGTGTATTATTATAAGATAGCTACAACTAGTAGCTGTTATTGATTAGCCAACGCATATTCCATCCAAAATAATGCTTACAAACAAACGTAGCTAAGTCAAGAATAAGCGGTTTCTTGTCAGCAAATTTTCCCGAGCTTCAAAAGAAATACAGTATTAGGACAACAAACTGCAGCAACTAAAGTTTGCAGGTATTTCCGTTTTGACTGTGAATGGACAATTTGCATGTTGGACTGAATTTTAATCTAGGTATAAAGAGAAGCGAATCAAACACCACAGCTAAAATGAACATAATAAAATTAGTAAAATTGCAAAATGTGGTTACGAAATGTTGTGAAAATATATACGGAAAATATAGCCTTGCGCGCAAAGTTTGCAAATTTTGTACATGTTTGTATTACGTGTGGAAATTGTTACCTGATTTTTGAGCCGAAAATGGTAACAATTTCCGCACGTAATGTATTTTCCGTATTTTACAACATTTCGAAACCAAATTTTGCAATTTTACTACTAATTTTACTACTTTACTGTTCTTTTCAGGAATTTACTTTTTTTGCCCAGATAAAAACTTAGTCTACATGCAAATTGTCTATTGCTTTGTTTCTTTTGCTTAATGGTAGAGGATATTTTACAATGTACCATTGTTGGTTGGTTAAACAGACAATGTCCAACATTATCCAAAAGTAAAGTCTCAAGATCATCAATGCTGCACTGAGAAAACGCCTCTGGTGTTGACCTAAAAATATTTAAAATATATTAGTTTATAAAAAACACATGTTTATAAAAACACATGAAAGTTCTTCCGTATACTTTAAAAAATGTATTGGAGAAATTAGGGAAATCTTTGTGTTCATGCAGCACGAAAATAGACAGAGAATTCTGACATCTCCTGGAATCATATCATAATGAAACTGACTAAACACAGCTGTATCTACTGGCTAACTCTTCTAAGTGAACGCGAAGGGCCTTCGAAATCTACTGAAATCTCATGTTTAAATATCTTAATAGCAAAACAAGTCACCTTATGACACCGTTCATAATACACCCGTCTGATGGACACATCGCGCAACCTTGAAAACAAAAATAGTATAATTTTCTGGTGGTAACTGTCGCAGTGATATACTGGTATGGAGGATGGTGCTAAATAGCGTAACTATTATGAATAAAAATATGAAGAAAATATTTACCATCATCGTGAAAGAGACCGAAATTATGTCCCATTTCATGCGCCATCACAACACCCGTGAATGCTGCATTAGACATCGTATCCTACATGATCAAATATGAAAAAAATGCTGTGCTGAGTGCATGGTTATATTAGTTACTACCTTAAAAAACAAGCAGAAATTCGACATTTCGAGCGAAGGCCCTTCGTCAAGAGTTAGTAGCCAATGTCATTCGCACTGTAACATGTTTCAAATTATGTTTATCTAAATTCAAGAACATTGTTTATTTAGCAGTTATTCAATGAGACTGTTATTGTTGACAATAAATTATCCTCATGCTTCTCGCACAAATATATTTGTCTTTGATCCCAATGACAATTCTAATATACCCCTATCGGTTCGTACGCGTCTACATGGCAATTAACAACGGTTAGTCACTTACAGAATCAATACCAGCAGAGTAACCCGGGTTACAGATTGTTCTCACATATGCCAAACCAATGACGTTCTCGTCATAGTTCGTTTGCCTATAATAATATTTTATTACCAATGGTTATATGACCCTTATATGCATGCATGTACCTTTACCTGTGCATGATCGAGGTTCGATTCCCATAATATGCACTAGTTGTCTCAATACAATTTCACTAAGTCGCATGTTACAAGGGCGCTTGTAATTCTATTCTACCAGGCGCTTATATAATGGGCGATTATGGGCGGTGCAATGCGATGATCGATGTGTGATGCGGAAAAGGACTGGCACGGGCGTGCTTTTCGGAAAAAGTTGACAAGGAGCATATCTCATACAGTTTGCAAAGGACGAAGGAATGGAACTAAACTATAAAAAGTGTATGGAGATGATTATTGACTTTAGGAAAAATATATCCCCTATACCTCCAATTCATGTTGGTGGTCATAATGTTTCTCGAACGAAGTCATATGAGTTACTGGGAATATGGTTAGATTACGATCTCAAATGGAAAACTAATAATACGGAATATATCACAAAGAAAGCGGCCAAGCGTCTGTATTTATTAAAGATCTTGAAGAGTTATGGTGCCCCTATGGATGATTTGTTTGCATTTTACTGTTCAGTAATTCGTCCTATTCTAGAATATGGTGCAAAGATTTGGAACGGAGGTCTAACCCAAGAGCAGAAAAAGAGCATTGGACGAATTCAAAAACGAATACTTAGAATAATTTACCCAAACCTCGACTACGACCGAGCAATAACTGAGACAAAGTTACAAACTTTGGAGGAACGTATTGGGACGAATTATGTATATCTCTAATTAAAAAAATGCTGGAACCAAACCATAAACTTCATAGCCTCTTACCAAAGAAACTAGAATACATTAGGCAAAAGGAAACAAGAATTAATAGTCAGAGGTTATATAATTTCTCTTGTAAAACCGAACATTTTAAACATAGTCCTTTGGTTTACTCTATATACTTGTATAATTCTAATTAAATTGGTTGATTAGAATCATGTTTCTTTTTAAAATTTTATCAGTTGGATAATGTACAAATAGGTACTATGCATTAGCAGTTTTTATACATAACGTAAATAGATATAGATTAGTATGTTAGACTGACTTTATATTTAACAAGACGCTCTCTCGAGCGTTAAGTTGCTGGGGCTTTTTAAATAGGCGCCTGCGTGATTTGCAACGAGCGGTAAGAGTATATTCAACGATTTGTGGGCTTGATTTGTAATTGTACATAAGTTTATTATATAAATAGTGACACGTTGCGACATAATGTATACAGCAAATTTAATTAACTAAGGGACGGACCATTAGAAAAGTGATGGGGGGGGGGATGTTTTAAGAGGCAAGATTTTTTTTTTGTACACCTATAGAAATTTTTTTTTCTCACTTGATGGCTGGAAATATATTTTTTTTATTAAAATTTATAGGCCTATCTTCCAGGAAAGGAATTTTTTTTGCACTATGCCTGGGAAGATTTTTTTCCCTAATTTTTTCCTGGGAATAATTTTTTTTTTTGGTTTTGCCCCCCCCCCATCACTTTTCTAATGGTCCGTCCTAAGGTCGTCCTTTCAATGAAGTGGAATCTCACAATCAGGTCCGTTGCACAAAAGTTCATCATATCGCTGAACTGAAGAATTCCTACAGGTCATAAAAGAGATCCACTGAAGAATTCCTGTTAATACCCATGAAGAGAGACCCTGGAAGAATTTCAATTTTTACATTTGACCTCTGAGAAAATCTCATTCAAAATAGCCATTACCAGATTACCCCCAAAAAATTCCACACAGAAATTTGCTTATCCCTGAGGAATTCCAAAGCTAAAAATTTATCACCTCATTCCAGCAGAATTGAAAGCCAAAATAGCCCATTTTGTGCTGGCACTGTGGCACAAGTGTACATATTTGGGCCTTGGGCTATAACAACCCCTTATTCATATTTGAGGATAAATACAGATTTGTGTATTTTTATTTTAACTTGTTTATAACAAATTTTAAAACACAAAAATTGTTTATCAGACAGTTAAGGACTAAGGAGTCGTTTGTGAATTAACCCATTGAGTGACAGCACTCTCTCCCTGATGAGTAAAATCCTTGGCATTAGACACAGTAAAATAATAAAGTAGGTCACATGAGGGTACATTGCCACTTAGAGGGTTATATGATATGGACAATCGCATATATTGGACTATTGGTGCAGAATTTAGC